CCCCATCACAGACAATATGATCCTATATATAAAAAACACAGTCTCCATAAAAAGCTTGCTGGAAGCGATCGAAGAATTCAGCAAGGCAGCAGGATACAAGGTTAACAACCAGAACTACAAAAAAAAAAGACATTAAGAAAACAATACCATTTATAATAAGCATACAAAATATTAAATACTTAGGAATAAGCTTACCTAAAGAAACAAATGAACTATACAGAGAAAACCACAGAATATTACTTCAAGAAACTAAAAAGGACCTATATAAATGGAAGAATATCCCTTGCTCATGGATAGGCAGACTTAATATCATGAAAATGACAATACCATATAAAACAGGTTATAGATACAATGCAATTCCAATTCAAATCCCAAATAAATTCTTTAAAGAAATAAAAAAACTAATTACCAATTTCATGTGGGCAGGCAAAAGACCAAGGAAAGCAAAGAGCTTAAACAAGGAGAACCAAACAGAAAGCCTAGCACTGCCTGACCTAAAAACCTACAGCACAGTCACAGTAGTCCAAACAGCCTGGTACTGGTACAATGAGAGACACATGGACCAATGGATCAGAACAGAAAACTCAAACATAAATGCATCAGCAAAGCATGGAGGAGGCACATTCAGCAGAGGACATGCTGAAATGACATCACTTTGGCACATCAAAAGAGTTCCTCAGGAGAGTGAAAAGAGAGCCCACAGATTGGGAAAATTTTTTTACCAAGGACATATCGGACAAAGACTAATTACCATATACCGTATATACTCAAGTATAAGCAGACCCGAATATTAGCTGAGGCATCTAATTTTACCACAAAAACTGCATTAAAAGTGTGCTGAAAAGCTCGCTTATACACAAGTATATACAGTATACAGAACTCTACAACAGCTCAATAAGAAAATAACAAAAGACCCAATTAAGAAATGGGAAAAATATGAATAGACAGCTCACTAAAAATGACATACGAACGGCTAACAAGCACATGAAAAATGCTCACAATCACTAGCCATCAGGGAGATAAAAATTAAAACAACAATGAGATACCACCTTACACCTACAATGCTAGCTCAATTAAAACAAACAAACAAACAATGAAACAAATGTTGGAGAGGATGTGGAGAGATTGGAACTCATATACACTGCTGGTGGATTTGTAAAATAAATACAGCCACTGTGGAAAATGATAGGGCAATACAGCAACTGGAAACTGAAATCCCATATGATCCAGCAATGCCACTATGGGGCATATACCCTAAAGAAATGAGATACAACACAAGCAACACAGTTCACAATCGCAAGAAACCGGAAGTAGTCCAGATGCCCAACAGTGGAAGAATGGATAAAGAAACTATGGTACATACACACAATGGAATACTATGCAAAATAGCAACAAAAGTATGAAACACTGCATGACATGGAAGGACTTGGAAACCATTATGCTGAATCAAGTGAGCCAGTCACAGAAGGACAAGTACTATATGAATGTACTTTAAGAAGAAACACCAACTTAACAAATCCTAGGAATCAATTCCTGAACAAAAGGAGAGAAGGCTACTTACTGGCCATGAACCATGCATCACCTCCCTTTTGCACAGTTCACAAGAGTCGATGTGAAGGAGGAGACTCCACATTGTCTGGGATCACTCCTTCAAGACGGGAGAATTGGGAGATAACCATCCACTTGAGGTTATACAACATTGACACAAGACTGGGGCAAATCACTGGACCCTCCCCAGGAATGGAAGAAGCTTTTTGGAAATTCCAGGCAAGACCACAAGAGGGGACCACCTATATTGTGGAGGAGATGCTGGTAGTTCTGTTGGTGAGTATGGTGGGAACATTGGGGAAAACTAACCACATAGTGGGAGGAAACCCTAAACAATGAGTACAGGTAACCTAGGGGGACAATGGCCAGATTTTAGGTACCCTGGTGAGTTAGTTAATTGTGCCAACCTGGCCGATAATCACGTGGGGCTAATTGAAAGGAGGAGGGATAAATGGGTGGTGAGACTCGCCTTTCTAATTCTCGGGTCTCTTGCTTTGTGATGGTCACACCAGGGTGCAGCTGCCTTAGCAGTTCCCTGCTTCAGCTTGCAAGATTGACTTCCTACAAGACATCCCCAAGGAGAAGCCACATGGACCTATCCCGATGCAGCCCTGGGTGCTGGAGCAGCCGTGTGGAGACCCCTGCTAGTGCTGAGATGCTTATTCGTTCACGGACTCAGCTTTCCTCCTGCAGTCGGCATCATTGCCTCTGTTTTGTGAGGTGGAGGACTTTGTGGACTGGTGTTGGGTTAATGGGTTAATGTTGGACTTGTGGGCTTGGGCAGCATTGGGTTGGGATGTTTTTGTGATGCACATTTTCTTTACATAAAATTCTCTTATACATGAGTTGCTGTGGATTTGTTTCTCCTAAGTACCCAGACTAACACACCTGGGCAGGCACTACAAATTCATTTCCACCCAACCTTCGGTGAACCACACCATGGACTAAGCACCAAGATGATTGTGGAAGCTGACCTGGCAGGCAGCAGGGCACAATGCAGGGGCTGAATGAGCTGAACCCTGTCTCGAAGCTGCCTGCACCCTTGGACTGAAGACTGGGGTACTTGGATGGGAGGAAGCAGTGTGGCCACCCCAGGATTATAGAACTGGAGGTCATTGGACTTTGGGGAGAACCCCTGGCTTGGTGGGTGTCTGGTGGAAAGGGACCCAGGATCACCATACATGTAGTGCCTGTGTCCTCCTTGCAATGATTTAACAGATTGGGATCCATTGAACAGGGATCTACACTTGGGGGGAGTTAACTCAGGAAGGTCCCCATTGGAATCAACCCTCATATTTGAGGTCAACGTAGCCCAATCAAATGAGAGTTTGAACTGTGCAGGGCAAAAGCTTGTGGGTGGAGGCTCAAGGTGGAACTGTACGCACGTAGACACCTCATCTCGACAGTGTCTGGAGGGCTGGGTCATTGGTAAAATTGATGAAGATAACAGTGCAATCAACATACACCCAAGGGGGGGTGGGTGATTGACAATGCTGCACTTCTTTGTTTATACGGGTTTTTATTTTTGTGATTTTGTTTTGTTTTTTTCTTTTCTTTGTATGTGTGTGTTCTGTTTGTTTGGTTGTTGATTGGCTATGGCTGCTACTGGTGCAGTTGATCTTATAGTGTTGATTTTTGTCATATTATGACCACCAAAGTAAACCTGAGATGTGCAAACCCCACAGACAAGCAAATGAAGTCTGGGCTCCTATTTAACCCTAGCAGGGCCCTGCTCGGTACTCCCCTTCATGAAAGGAACACCAAAGACAAAGGTGCTACAGCACAGTGTGGGGCAGAAACCAGATGGTGCCCAGCTACCAGTTAGAATAGTGTCTGGGATCTTTAAAGGCTGTATTCAAACAAGCAGCCATCTAAGTGAGGAATCAACTAAGTCCACACAGAAGAAGCACACCAGCTTGTGTGATCCAAAGATGACAATTACAAAATTCAAATATGTGAAGGGAAAAACATCAGAGCTAAAATTATGAACACTCAATTTGCAGAAGGCTATGCAGGACTGTGGGAGCCCCAAACCCATTTGCAGAGTATCTGATCAGACTGAGCCCCTGGCAGATCCACTCTAGCCACAGGCAAGAGTCTCCAACTGCCAGGCTGTCAGGCAGAGACCACTGTAATCTTGAATATGCGGAATCGAGGTCGATACTTGGCCAGATGACCTCCCTAGAGACCTGAGTTGATTCTGAGGGCAAGTATCTCTGACCTGTTCCATGGCAGAAATTTCTTCCCGGGATTTTGGGATGTTGATGAGGGTCTTTTCTTTCTCATTATTTGCATTTTGGTCTTTATATTATTATTATTCTTTTATCCTCACCACCCTATTTAGGATTTGTCTTTTATTGTTTCTGTAGTGTTTCCCAGTTTGTGACCCAAAGGAGGAGTGGATGCACAATGATAATAACTGATACAGGGGTTGATAGGGGATGCAGGGGTGGCAGTGGGTGATAGGGAGGGAAGGGGGATTTCAGGAGAAGGAAATGAAGATGGGAGTGAAGAGGAAGTACTAGAGCTGACTGTGATTGCATAACTCATTTTAAAGGTGATTTAACCATAGGGTAGGGTGGGGTGTTCTAAAATGGGTATGGTAATGATTGCACAATTCTCCTTGATATGACTGAAGATCGAATTATTGAAGTGTATGATATGTCAATTATGTGCAACCTTTCTGTAAAGTCCATAAAAACTGAACAAATCTCAAGTTAAGCAATAGCGACTACATGATTATCTCTACAGAGTGAGCCCTGGTCATGACAGTGGGTAACGTGTTGGGCTGCTTACCACAAGGTCAGCAGTTCAAATCCATCATGCACTCCACAGGGAAAAGATGTGGCTTTCTACTCTTATGAACAGTTAGTCTTGAAAATGCACTGGGGCAGTTCTACTCTGTCCTACAGGGTCACTGTGAGTCAGAATTGTCTTGATGGCAGTGCGTTTTGGGTCTGGATGGATAGAGAGGAGTGAACAGGGTGAGAAGGTTTCACTCTAGAGAATAGACACACATGGAGTTCTCAGGGAAGGGAAGCCATCTAAAATATGGGGGAGAAGCTTTCTCCCAATTAAAGTGAAAGGGAGGCTAAGTCACAATTTGAAGAAGAATAAGGTCCCAGGAAATGCATGAGGACGCCACCAGGAAGGGCACAAAGGAGCAACGGGGGTGGGTGGGGGTGGAAGGGGGCCTGTCGGTGCAACTTTGGACACTGCAGATTCTCATGGCAGCAATGGGCCTGGTATGGGTCTTGCCTAGAACTCCAGAGAAGGTAAAGCTTACAATAAGGACAACGCCAGGTAGCAGCGTTTGAAATCCATATCTAAACAGTAAGGTTCAGGTTACAGATAACCTAAGCTTAGCAGCTTTACAGATGAAACAAGCCTAGTCCAATCAAAAGCCCTTAGATTCCAACAGATTCTCAAAGCATGTAAAGAGTTCCTCTTACCTTCAGGGACGTCAGCTGATCTGCCCACATTTCAATTATGGGAACAAGATGCTCAAACCCACAATCGTGCACAAAATCTTTATTAAATTGGTGGGCTCCTCCTTTGCTCTGCTTATAAAGTATCACTGGAGCTCTTGGGTTATTAATAATTGAATTGATGCTACACAGCACCTTCAAAAAAAAACCAACAGACTTTTTAATCAAAGTGCTTGCCCTGGTTCTATAAAGTAAGATATCTTCTAAAAATAAAAGTGCTTTATTTATTCAATGAAACACCATTGTCATAAGAGTTAATTTTGGATCAGAAGGGTATCGTTAATAAAATTGATACATGTAATCTTTTGGTAATATTTTTAACCACAATTAAACCTAAGAGGAGGATCTGATTAGGAGGACCAGAGACTTTACAAAAAACTAAAATGAATTAGACTTGAAATTAATTATGAATGATCTATTATAATCCATACTGATTGCCATCAAGTTAATTCCGACTTGTGGTATCCTAACAGATGTGCCCCTAGGGCTCCCAAGGCTGTAGACTCCCAGGGTTCTCCCATGGAGCAGCTGGTAGGTTCCAACTGCTGACTTTTCAGTTAGCACTCAAGCACTTAACCACTGCACCACTGGCTCCACATGGGGAAGGGAGCTACTCTGACGTCCTGAAGGGCAATCTCCATATTTTACTACTTTTATTTCCTTATTCACTGTCCAAGAGTCGATTCTGACTCATACTGACCCGTGTGGGCTACCGAGACGGTAACTCTTTCCAGGGCAGAAGGCCTCGCCTTTCTCCCGTCATAAGCTAAGTCAGGTGTTAAAGGGGCTTCTGTTACTTGATAGCTCCAGCTGAGGTTCAAAGTGAGGCCAGTGAACAGGAAAACCCCACTGGTCATGAAGAGGTGTCCGGGGCACACCCTGCAGGGCTTTTAGGAGACACCACAGGACTCCAGGAGCCAGCTTCTACAGAGAAAAGGCTAGAGATAGGGTGCAAGGGCAGAAAATGCTCTTGGCGAAACAAGAAATAAAAACGGATTTCCTTAGTTTGAAAAATATTGGTGATAAATTCAAAATTCTTAAAACCTATGTGAGCCAAATAGATGAGCACTGGCCCAATTTGGCCAGCAAACCTCTCACCTATTAAGCAATCGTCTGTAAAACCAGAAAGATTCCATCTCTACATTAGAGAACTAAATTTCAGATAATCTAAATATCTAACAAAAAATAAAACCATAAAAAAATTTAAAGAAAATATACGCATTTTATAATAACAAAGAGAAACAGCTTAAAAGGCAGGAGTTAGAAAAATAATTACGAAATCATTTTTAAAATATTTTTTAAAAATCTAGACCAAGTCTTTTTTAAAGGGTCAGGAGGGTTCTACATTGAGTTACTACCTTTAATGTTTTGGGGAGCTCTGGTGGCATACATAGCAGGCACGTGTTGGGCTGTGATCTGCGAGGTCAGCATTCTAAACTATACGGGCCAGTACTCTAAACTACTGTGAGAGAAAGATGAGGTTTTCTACTCCTGTAAAGAGCTACAGCCTCAGAAATTCACAGGGGCAGTTTTACCTGGCCCTACAGGATCACTATGAGTCAGCACAGACTCCATGGCCGTGGGTTTGGGTGAGATCGTGTCTCAGTCAATCAGGCATGCCGTAGTATATAACGCAGGGTATTGTCAGGTGTCCTTGAGTTGGCTCTGGCCCAGCCCCCAGCGACCCTACTGCACATCAGAAGGAAGCACTGCACGGTCTTGCGCCATCCTCACAACTGTTCCCCATCGGAGCCCATGGATGCAGCCAGTGTCCACCCATCTTGTCGAGGGTCTTCCTCTCTTTCGCCTCCCCTCCACTTTACCAAACATGATGATGTCCTTCTCCAGGGAGTGGCCTCTCCTGACACTATGTCCAAAAATATAAGACAAAGTCTTGCTATCTAGCCTTATTTCTTCTAAATCAGATCGATTTGACCTTTCAGCAGTCCGTGGTACTTTCAATATTCTTCTCCAGCACCACAATTCAAATGCATTGATTCTTCTACGGTCTTCCTTATTCAATGTCCAACTTTCACGTGCATATGATGCAATGGAGAATACCATGGCTTGGGTTCCTCAAAGAAACACCCTTGCTCTTCAATACTCTGAAGAGGACCTGTGTAGCAGATTTACCCAATGCACTACATCTTTTGCCCTCTTGACTGCTGCTTCCATGAGCATTGATCATGCATCCAAGCAAGAGAAAATCCTTGACAACTTCAACCCTTTCTCCACTTATCATGATGTTGCCCTATTGGTACAGTTGTGAGGATTTTGGTCTCTCTCTCAATGAGTTGTCATCCACACTGAAGGCTACAATCTTTGCTCTTCATCAGCAAGTGCTTCAATTCTTCGTTTTCAGCAAGCAAGACTGTGTCATCTGCATACTGCGAGTTAATAAACCTTCCTCCAATCCTGATGCCACACTCTTCTTCGTATAATCCAGCTTCTCCGATGATTTACTCAGAATATAGATTGAACAAATATGGTGAGAGGCTACAACCCTGATGCACACCTTTCCTGATTTTAAACCATTCAGCATTCCCTTATTCTGTTCATACAACTGTCCCTTGATCCATGTACAAGTTCCCAGTGAGCACAATGAAGTCTTCCAGAATTCCCATTCTTCTCAAAGTCATCCATAGTTCATTACGGTCCACACTGGCAGATGCCTTTGCATGGTCAGTGAAATACAAGTCAACATCTTTCTCGTATTCTCTGCTTTGAGCCAAGATCCATGTGACATCAGCAATGATGGCTGCTGTCATAAGACAGGATAAGCATATGCAAATACAGCCAACAAGTATGCCGTACAACTGAAACGATAGTTACACTGCAATTGAAACCAAATTCACTATGAATTCAAGGGACTCTGCTGGCTGTTTGGTACCTGAAAGTATCGGTGGTCATTTAGCGCCTGCTGCTGGTTGTCTTTGCTGGGTTCCTCGTCTTTCTTCTCTGGGTCCTCAGTCTTTTTCTGGCTGATGAGCTCCTGAAATCTAAACAGGAGGAACAATCAGACAATGTAAAGTGCTTTCCTAGATATCCAGTTATCCATCTCAACAACCTCAGTTAGACATATTATTACTGGAAAACAAGATGATCCCCTCAAAAGACACCCTAGAACAGTGGTTCTCAACCTTCTTCGTGCTACAACCCTTTAATACAGTTCCTCGTGTTGTGGTGACCCCCAACCATAAAATTATTTTCATTGCTACTTCATAACTGTCATTTTGTTAGTGTTATGAATCGGGTGACCCCTGTGAAAGGGTCATTCAATCCTGAAAGGGGTCGAGACCCACAGGTTGAGAACTGCTGCCCTAGAAGGAGTCCATGAAGACATTAGTGATCAGGCTAAAGATAATTCTGACCACCACAAAGCAAAATAAAACCAGCATATGGAAGTGACTGCTAGGGTACTTCTAGCCTAAAGGCTGTAGATATCAGGGCAAGAAGAATCGGTAGGGCAACTGGTTTGGGTATTGTAGCAACAACTTGACAATTCTGGCCCCTACTTCTTTATACCCCACGTGTGCTAAGAGTGGGGTAACCCAGCCAGTCAAGAAAGGGTCAAGATGCAAAAGACCATCATCCTAGGTGACTACTGGAACTCTGAGGGAAAGGAGGGCCTTTTTGCTAGAAACTTAACTATGTATGAGTACAGCCACTTAATAGCAACCTCTTTCCCTTCACCAAATATCTTTAAAGACAGGCTGTAGTAGACACTCCACCCCTCCATTGACCACTATGCCTCCCCATATAGTCTCCTATTAAACCCTTCAAATAAAGCTTCTTCAATTTCTATCCAATCGATACAATTATTATTCAAATTCATGCACCAACCACAAAAGCTAGTGATGAAGAAATTGAAGAATTCTACCAACGACTATAGTGGGAAACTGATCAAACATGTGGTCAAGAGGTATTGATAGTTAATGGTGATTGGAATGCAAAACTTAGAAAACATGGACTTGGTGATAGAAATGAAGCTGGAGATTACATGAGAAAATTTTACAGAACAACTTGTTCACATCAAAGCTCATGGAAGGAGCAGTCAAGAGATTAAAAGATGTGTTGCACTGGGCAAATCTGCTGCCCAGGATCTCTTTAGAGTACTGAAGAACAAGGGTGTGACTCTTTGAGGACTAATGTGCACCTGACCCAAGCCCTGGTATTCTCCATTACATCACATGCAGGTGGAAGTTGGACATTGAGTAAGAAGGACCGTGGAAGAATTGATGCATTTGAATTTGGTGCTGGAGAAGAATATTGAAAGTACCACGGACTGCTAAAAGGACAAACAGATCTGTACTGGAAGAAGGAAGGCCAGAGTGCTTCTGAGAGGCAAGGATGGCAAGACTTACATATTTTTAGGCATATTGTCAAGAGAGACCAGTCCCCGGAGGAGGACATCATGTTTGGTAAAGTGGAGGGGTGATGAAGAGGAGGCTCTTAATGAGATGGATGGACACAGTGGCTGCATCAGTGGGCCAGGGAGTAGGAACAATGGTGAGGACGGTGGAAGACCACACAGTGTTTAAGGTTGCTATGGGTCGGAGCCAAGTCAATGGCACCTAACAACAACAATTTGTATGTGTACTGTGAGATTAGCCTTGGGCTGATAACCACAGGTAGGCAGCTCAAACCTACCTGCCACTCAAGAGAAAGATGAGGCTGTCTGTCCGTGCCAAGAGTTAGTCTCAGAAACCCTAGAGAGTGTCGCCTTGAGTCAGAATTGAGTCGATGGCAACAGGTTTGCTGTTGGGGTATCAGCTTCCTGCTGGGCCCCTGACATATTAAGTTGATTTCATGACACATTAATGATCTCCCATCTATTTGTAAGATAGAACAATAATATTCTATCATGTCATATATCTACTGAAAAACAATCACAGCATCTCAATAGCCCTCTTAGCTCATCTCTGGCCCAGTCAGCACAGGTTTGTCAGGGGAGCACTGCATCTCCTTGGATTTTCAATGGCTGTTTTTTCCTGGGGTGGACGGTTAGGCCTTTCTTCCGAGACACCTCTGAGCGGGCAAACTTCCAGTTAGCAGGCAAGTGCTTAACCATTTACATCATTGAGGGATCTCCTGATGATGCAGTGGTTATGAGCTGGGCTACTAATCGCAAAGTCAGCAGTTCGAAACCACCAGCCAGCTCCAAGGGAGAAACGCAGGCTTTCTACTCCCATACAGTTCCAGTCTTGGAAGCTCAAAGGGGAGTTATACTCTGTCCTACACAGTCGCTATGAGTTGGTATAGTCTCTGTGGAGGTCAGGGAGGAGGGAGAGATTTCCATATATCATTATAGAATTACAACTTAAAACGATGAGGCTAAACATCTATTCAAAAGTTAAACTCCAAAATACTAAATGCTCATTATTTGTTGCAACAGGTTGTCTTCGTCTGGTGGGGATGCAAAATGACACCGCCCCTTTGGAAGACAGTTTGGTGGTTTCTCACAAGATAGGCTTACCAAACAATTCAGCCATTACATTCCTAGGTTTTTGCCCAAAAAGAGTTGAAAACTTTTATCTACACAAAAACCTGCATATGAATGCTTAGAGCATCTTTATTCATAACTGCCAGGAAGTGGAGGCAATCAGATGCCCTTCAAAAGGTGGCTGGATAGATACTCTAGCATATGCATGCCACGACATATTGTTGCAAGGTGCCCTCCATTCAGAGCGATCCCAGGTGACAGTAGAAGGCCCATCGGGTTTCCTGGGTTTTATTACTTATAAGAGCTGTCCCCCCAGAGCCACAGAGTTGGTTTGAACCAACTTTGAACCTTTCATTTAGCAGCAGTTTCCCATTAGAATTTGGTATTCGGTGATAAAAAGAAATGGGCTAAAAAGGCCTGCCTTGAACAGAGTGGAGACTCAAAGCCCATTAGTAGGCCACTGGAGATCCCCTTTGAGTTAGTTAATTGTGCCAACCTGGCCGATAATCACATGTGGGGCTAATTGAAAGGAGGAGGGATAAATGGGTGGTGAGACTCGCCTTTCTAATTCTC